GTAAGAAAAAGTTTTAAACGACACTTGTTATTAAGCTACAATATAAACAAACATCGTCATCATTAACTAATTATTAATAATGACCGATACATTGTATCATTAAAATTTCGGTCGGTAATTAATTCCAACTCCGTACGTAACTGATCGTGGTGGTTATGCTAGGTTCGTGACTTTAAACCTACTCTATTTAGCATAAAACTTTTTATATTAAGATAATTTTAATTTTGAAGTTTGATGTATCAACCTTTTTGCACCGAATCATATTTAATTTTTAAAACTTATTATAGATTTTATTAATAGTTAATAAAAATATTGTCACAGACATTTGATTTGTTACATTTTCTGACAACAATTTAAATAGCGCATAAAATTTTTGATAGACATTTTCGTTGTTAGAGTCATAATTATGCATATGTAATCGTTCGAAATTTTGCGGTTGTTTGCTGAAAGAAAAAAAAAAAGATGAATTGTGTTGTGATATCGTATAAAGAAACGAGTAAAATAAACGAGATGTGAGAAAAGAATAAAATTCGATAGATCTATTCCATGGAATACGATAGTTAAACCCGAAGAATATACGATCCGTAAGTCCCAAACAAAAAATTCAATTTAATAACGCCAAATTATTCAAATAAAGGTGGTAGCGGTAAATAAACGTCAGAAAGAGTCTCTATGGAAGAAACTGGAGTCATGGAATTTTCTCGAAATGATTTGAATTCGTCAGAATTATTCGTCGTCAAGAAAGGATCGTCGGAACAATTAGAAATCGCTGATATAGAGCGATTCTCAAGGGAATGTGAATAGTAACGATCACCCACATTTGTTAACGTATTGATAGTAGAATTAATAAAAGTGGTTGATCTGAATTCGTTAATGGACATATCAATTTTATCATGATAATCATTATTAATGCACGTTTCTTTCAATCTTTCTTTCGCAGCGATATTGTCCCAGTAGCTTTTAACATGCTGGGGTTCATTCTCCCATTGAGAAGATATCAATCTCGATAAAGTTCTCATATCCATGGGAGCTTTCGGATTGTTGAAACGTGGATTATTTTTAAGATGATAAGTGCGGTAAAGTATGAATCGATTCGGGGGCTTTTTCTTTAAAGGATTTCGGGATTCCAATTTTCTTTTCTTTGCGGATTTCATGACGTTTCATTAAGTTAAAGATGTAATGAATGACTGATTTGGATTGTAATTTGATATGTTTTATAACTTATTTTCGCAAAAAACGAGTGCCCTTTTTATATGTGTTTTCCCTTTAGACCGTAATTATAATACAATTTAGTTTCTATTATAATAATTTGTCTCGGATTCATTGGTTAAAAACACATGTATATATGCACGTACTATGCTTATTTTTTTTTCCAAAAATGGTGAGTTCAATCATACGTAAAATGATGACATAACGATTTAAATAAGGAATAACTTACATTGTTCTCACTAGAAGTCCTAAACCTATTTTAATGTAATGATTCCCGAAGAAACTCTTAACGTCCTAAACACTTTATTTTAGTGTATTGATCTCTTATTGACACGGAACTGTGAGTTCCGTTCAATAATTTATTTTTTATTTTTTGCTTAAATTTTTGGTAAGAATATTTTACATTATACATGTGCGATGAAGCATACATACTTCCAATGAACTTTGTTTACAATAATAACATTCACGAACATATGCTGCATAAAAACTTGTAAAAAAAATAAAAAAAAGGAAAAAAAAAAAAAAAAAAGTCCGAAGATTCTCCTTGGCCCAGGTTCTTGATCAAAATCACGTCTCTACATTTTACTTTGGCGTGCGTCACTCATCGCGTAACGTTACACATTATGTTGGCATATGAAAACAAACTTAATCTTTGTGTATCGTCACACGGATTAGGTTTGGTTGATTTATATGGTCATCGCACGTGATATTCCCAGGATTTAAAAAGAAAAACAGGCATCTTACCATTTTTGAGAACAATAGTTTAATGACGTAGCGGTAGTACATACCAAATATTAACGTGACAATTTTAATAATGATGAGGAAGGCGTGTCATTTTTATTTACACAATGCTATAAAACGTGCTCAAAAAAAAAAAGACTGGTTAAATATATCTTATATAAAATGACTAGAAACAAATCAGTTTCTTTACAATATATACTATATTGAAAAGTAAAACTTGTATATGTGTGTGTGCAGAATATATATATCTATATATATCTATATACTGTATATACTATATATATATTTTTTTTATTTATTTATTTATTTTTTTGTCTTGTACAATATGCTGTGAGATGTTAACACGCCATCAATACACAATAACAAAAAAAACACATTGTGTCTACGATTTATTGATTTTTTTTTTTATTCATTTTGCACGTAACATTCAATGCATATAATTAAAAATTTTACAAAGAAAAAAAATTATCTCATGCTATCTTTAAAAAAAAAAAACTCTGCGAAATGGCAACAAAGATCCTCTCATACTATAATTATTCAACCTTTAAAGCCATACCATAAATCCACAAACTCATCATTATTGTCACAATTCCCATCGTTAATCCATTACAGTCCATATTCCTAAAGCTCCCGTTCGATGTTGATGTTTCGTTGTAATGCGTACCATTATCATTTTGTGGTGAATTAGAATGGTTGACAGCATTTGTAGAGGGACTGGGTTTCTGTTGTGTACTTACAGGTGTTTTAATTTGCGCGTCCTGATCAGTGACTGCATTTGTCGGAACCGGCGACGTTTTTGGCGAATTGGGTTGTTGACGATTTACTGGTGAGTTTGGTTGTTGCTGGTTTATTTGCGGGTTAGGTTGTTGATGATTTATCGGTAAATTAGGTTGCGGTTGAGAATCTGAATGCTGTGATTGCGGTGTTGTTGGTGACGGGTTTCCTAGCTTCTTATCCCCGAATGGAAGCTTTGGTCGTTCTCCTCCACCACCTTGTCCTCCCATTGGCGGCATTCCACCAGCCCCTGGTAATGCGCCTGTACCTGGCGTAGTGGGTCCGGGTAATTGGGCAGTAATGGCGTAGATTTGGAATGTGAGAATTAATAAAGTAATTATGAATTTCTGTTCACGCATTGTTTTATTATTAGAACTTTGGTAAATATTTTGTTTCTACTTTTTTTCTTTTTTTTTTGTAAATGTCTTACGTGTTACTAGCGATCTACTAAGGTATTTTGAAGATAGGGAACGAATTGGATTGTGCTTTTATACACTTTTTCTGGTTACCTGGGAAATAAACAGTAATCGGTATTTTATTTAGTAATTACCTTTAAAGATGTCCAAATGCATCGTGAACAAAATGACGCATAGTTGATATTTCTTATACGATCAAGTTTGTTAGATCTGATTAAATCCATTTTATTAACGTAATAGATATCATCCCCTAATGATTGATGTTTTTTGATTGTTTCTCTCATGCATAAATCATACATCTTCCAAGATCAATTATCAATCTTTTTTTAAAAAAAGAAAGAAAATATTTGATTAGTTGACATGAATGTACAACACAATTAATCGTATTCTATTTTGCGTACATAAACCTCTACTTAAGCGATATAAATGGTTAGGTCGCGCGACGGTAAGTTTGGGTAGCTATATTTAATAAACTCACATTTCTATAATCGTGCACTAAAATTCTTTTTAGACAAATATGAAAACTAAATTTTTTTAAAATTTTTTTAGACGAACCAATTTTTTCAAAAAAAAAATTTCCACGTTTGACCAATTAAATCGCAAGATTAACGTATGACATCATGTCAATTATCCTCCGAAAGCATGTTTATACCCCATATCGATCGATATATTTTTTTAGCCAAATTAAGGCCGATTTCAATAATGTGACCTCAAAAGGTTAATACTTTCGGAAAATACTATAAAGCCCCTAAACAAGTTATTATCATTATTTGATTGGCCCGTCAATAATGATGTAGACATTTCTCAGAGTAGTGACTACTTACGACATTACGGCTATGACGTAGAGGCCGTACTGTCCGAGGTTGTCGTGAGTGATGTAGTATGCCGTATAGCGTTACTACTCTGAAAAATTTCGCTGACTAATCAAATTTCAAGTAAACACAATAGATCAACAGTTTTGTACAAGATGGTTGCTGAATATACATAACCAAATCCTCTTTTACAATTTATTTAACATTAGATACCATATAAGCGCAAAATAACGCCCACCTGCGTTATTTCGAACACACTCATGTGCATTATTTCGAAATAAGAGTATATTTTCTAAATCCAATACAGTCAACCTTCCATAACTGCACGTTTTTTGGTAAAAGTACATTTATAGAAAATTCATTTATGGAGCATAATCTACATTTAACGATAATATTAAATAATTACATTAGACCGATCAAATTATGTGCACTTATCATTATAGGGAAAGTGCATGTGAGGTGCAATTATAGAGAGTGACATATGGAGTGTCGACTTCGACTATATATCATTTATCGCAATGATAAGTTATGTGCTACATTAGGGTGCGCGTTAATTCGGGATGCCCAGAGCTAATGTCGAGAACATATAAGTTATTTTTGATGGATCCGATTTTCAAAATAACGCCCACGAGCGTTATTTCGCGCTTATACGGTAATTTATTGATCAATTAGAAATTCTCTGATGCAATCATTAATATTCTCATTTTTGCTTGTTGGGATCACATGCCAAACACCATTCTTTAAACGTGTTATCTTTATTACAATGTATACTTTTGTCGTATTTGGTAACCATTTTAAGGGATAGTTCGCAGTTGAAAGGTAAAATTTTATAGTCAAATACGGAGCAATATTACTATTAATTTCATATAAGAGGTGGAATCTCGAAAGTCCCGACTTTAATGATTTTACTACCACTAGAATCGTCTCAATGAGCTTTACAACTTTTAATTAGAAATTTAAAAAGAGTTATTTAGTAGAAAAAAAAAACTTTTATATGGAATACAGCCAAATTCCTGTACTAATATAAGATTTGTCATTTTTTTACCCTTCAAAACCGAATTACATCTTAATCATTGTCAAATATTATATAAGGTAAATATGGGTATTATGACGAAGGGTATTATGACGAATCGGGTTATCTCGTGATCAGAATCATATGAAATTTACACCATTCGATTCCTCTCATCGAGAGGAGTCAAATGGTATAAATTTCACCCGATTCTAATCATGGGATCACGAGATAATCCCGATTCCTCTTCGTCATAATATGTAGATATGTAGAATACTGTATCTAAAATTATTATGACGAATCAGGATATCTCATGATTCCGCGATCAGAATCGGATGAAATCTATCATTCCGATTTCGGGATCACGAGATAATCCCGATTAGTTTCGTATGAAAGTTTAAATAAATTTTTGCCAAAAATTTTTTATTATATCCATATTGCTATACGAAAATCTGAAAACAAAATAAGTATTAATTTTATTTTTTTTTGTTTTGCTTTGTTTTATTTTATTTTATTACTAATTATTTAGCAAC